TAAATTTTCACTCAACTTACAACAAAAACTTAAAAAAAAAAAAAAAATAGAGTCACCTAGTTCTGTCACCTAAGATTATCCTCTGCTCACATCATCCCCACTTCCTCAGAGACAACCACATTCAGCTCTTAGCTCATTGTTTTTGCATTTATTGACCTGAAGCATATAAATACATACAATGCTCGCATTTCTGCTTCTTGATGCCACTATTGACCACTTACTATACAAAGGCACACTTCCTATCCTCCCAGTAAGAGAGAGCCTCAGAAAGTTCATGGATTGATAGAATTTTTCGTAAATGTTTTGAAGACCCCTCATATAGATACTGTGCTAAACCTGCTGCTGTTGAATATATTTTGACTCATTGTTGTTAGGTGCCAACTCATCGAGTTGGTACTGACTCATAGCGACCCTACGCACAACAGACCAAAAAACTGCCTGATCCTGGGCCAACCTCACTATTGTTGCCATGCTTGAGTACATCGATGCTGCTACTTGGCTAATCCATCTCATTGGGGATCTTCCTCTCTTTCTCTGACCCTCCACCTTACCAATAATATCCTTCTCCAGCGACTGGTACCTCCTGACAATATGTCAGAAATATGAGATATGAAGTTTGGCCTTCCTGGCCTCTAAGGAACACTCTGGCTGCACTTCTTCTAACACAGATCTGTTGGTTCTTTTGGTAGCCCATGGCACTGTCGATATTTTCCTCAAAACCCATAACTCAAAAGCTTCTATTCTTCTATGGTCTTCCTTGTTCACTGTTCAGCTTTCGCATGCATATGAGGTTATTGAAAATACCTTGGCTTGGGTCAGGCACACCTTAGTCCTCAAGCTGACATCTTTGCTCTTCAACACTTTAAAAAGGTCTTGTGCAGCAGATTTGCCTAATGCAAATACATCATTTGATCTCTTAACTGCTGCCGTGAGTGTTGATAGTTGATCCAAGAAGAATGAAGTCCTTGACAAGATGTTGTTTTGTTATTAGCTTCCATCAAATTAGTTTCTAACTTATGGTGACCTGAAGCACAGTGGAATAGGACCATTGTGATCTATCAAACTTGTATTAGCTGATTTTCTTCTTAGTCTATCTTCCACTTGAAGGTCTGCCAAAACACGCTCAAGCTCATAGTAACATACAAGCTTCCATTAACAGATAAGTACTGATGGCACTTATGGTGCATTGCCTGAGATTGGAACCCAGGTCTCTTGAATGGAAAGTGAAAATTCTACCACTGAGTCTAAATGACCCTCACAATTTCTGTATGTTGCTGTCATTTGCCGTCCAATAGATTTTGACTTGATGCAGCCCCACGTGACAGAGGAGAACTGCCCTTTAGGGTTTTCCAGGCTGTTATCTTTATGGTTCCGATGCCAGGTCTTTTCTCCCATGGAGTCACTGTGTGAGTGCAACCTGCTGACTTTCCAGCTGAACCACCGCTTCGCCAGGACTCCTGTAATCTATGGAGATGGTGGTGGTGGTGTCCCGTGGAGTCAACAAAGTTCTGTCCTAGGCACTAAGAAATGAATACCCAATAAAAGTTATTTTATGTTTTAATAACTACTTATCAAGCGTGTATTTTTTTAAGTTTTTATTATGAATTGAGTGAAGGTTTACAGAGCAGATCATCAGTTTTACATTCAACAAATCATAGACTGGATTTCATCTCATGATTGCAGTCCCCTCAAGGTAATATCACTTATCCCTCTTCCTCCCTGCATTACTTGTTTCTGTTACTCTTTCTTTCCCCACCATTTTGAATTTTGTCCTTAGGTAAATGCCTTTTTAAAAAATGTTTTATTGTGAATTATGTGATAGTTTACATGGGAGAACATTAGTTTTATATTCATCCTATCGTATATCATTTCATTGCCATGGTTACAATCATCCCCTCCATGCATCATCAACTA